GATCCTTAGACCTTAACCTCAGTTTACATTAGCATATTATTCCACCTAATTTAATAATTGGTCCTTTTTTTTTTTTATAATTGTTAGCAATTCTCATAATCAGTAATTATAACACGCCTCAATATAAGAATGTCATATCCGTGATCCATTTTGTTAATAGTCTGTAGGGTATTTATAGCATATTTTGTTTATTTTGTCATTATGTAACACTCCTCTGTTTTTTTATTTTTTGTTTTTTATTTTATTACTTGAGTTCGTGCATTTGGTGAGGCACAACTTTGACTATCAATATCTATTATAAAATATTAGTAAAAATTTACAAAAATTTTATTATAAAATTAAACATTGAGACGAATAAATAAATATATTACCTAATGACATTTAATGCACTCCGTATGTAAATACTATAAATAAAAAATTTCACATTTAACATTGAGACGAATCAAAAAAGGATAATTATAAACACAAAACAAAATTACTATTAACATATTTTAAACATCATTAATTAATATACGTATAAAATAACATACTTCCAACATTATTATTACTTGAGTATGTACATTTGACGAGGCACAACTTTGACAATCTTTCACCATATAACCCTGAATTTTTTTGTTTATTCAACATATACCCATGAAATTTTAAAATTCACCATATATCCCTAAGTTGTTACAAAAATTCACCATACACCCTTAATGATAAAAAAATGAGTGGAATTTGGTTAATTATACATCGAAACAACCTTAAATCTCTTCCCCTATCCCTGAAACCACGCTAAATCTTCATAACCATATCCGTATGATTGATATTGAGGACGAGAAAAAGAACTTTGAGGTAGTTTTCGGGGTGGAAAAAAGGAATGATGGTGGTTTTGGGAGTAGGGGAATGCATTTAAGGTAATTTCGTGTCATAATTAACCCTAATGACTAACAAAGTTAACAATCATTAGTCTTTAAGGGTATATGGTGTATTTTTGTAAAAACTCGAGGTATATGATGAATTTAAAAAAAAATTCAAGGGTATATGATGAATAAACAAAAAACTTAGGGGTATATGGTGAAATATCAGTTAAAATTTACAAAAATTTTATTATACAAGTAGACAAGGTGACGAATCAAAAAATATATAATATGATAACATCTAATATACTCTGTATGTAAATCGATTAATCTAAAAAATTCACATTTAACATTAAGATGAATTAAGATGAATAAAAAAGGATAATTATGAACACCAAACCAAATTACTATCAACATACTTTAAACATCATTAATTAATATAAGTATATAACAACATACTTTCAACATTATTCTTCAATAAATTTAACAACATACTTTCAACATCAATATTAAAAAAAAAAAGAATAAAAACCACAGGTGATATGGCGGTATCGTGTGGGTAGTGATTCGCCAATACTAATGACATGTGATTTGTGGCTCATCGGTGCTAGGAACATGTGATGTCGTTAAATGGACGGTGGTGGTGGTGGAGAAGGAAGTTGAAAATAATTGTAAGTAAAAACGAATAAATTATTGAGTGAGAGAAAGGAGAATCGACTTAACTTGGATCTCCGGCGATCAGATATCGTTTCCGGCAACAATGGTGGCCGTTGTCTCGGAGGGGATGACGATTATTAGGATTCTAGGGTTTAGAAGTATAGAAAGTGAAGGCTAATTCTTTGTTTAGAAAGATGGTATACTTTGGGGGAAAGTGAATTACTTCGTAACTAATTGACTTCAAATCCTTGAGTGAGAGAAAAGATAGTAGACTTAGCATACTTGGATTGCTGGCGGTCGAATATCGTTTCTGGCAACAATGGTGGTTGTTGTCTCGGAGGGGATGACATCTACAAGGTTTCTAAGGTTTGAAAGTAGAGACAGTAAAGTATAATTCTTTTTGTTTAGAAAGTTGGTACATACACTTAGGGAGAAAAGAAAATTTACTTCATAAATAATTTTCTTCTAGTATTTATTAACTAGAAGTTTTTCAAATAATCTTTCATTGATTTATAATTTGAAATAACTCTTATGAATAGCGTTTTGGACAATTATGTCCTCTAAATAGTTTATTTAAATTGAGGGAAAATATGTAACCAAATATATTCCAGGGTATAAATATTCGCTCACTATTTTACATAGTTAAGAAAAAGCCAATTAACATTATTAAAGTAAAAAAAAAGACAATTAACTTTATTGAATGAAAAATTAAAACTTGAAAATATTAATGAGGGTAAACATGTAAATGCACATTTTGAAGTGTATAATTGACAGCACACTATTCATAAGTGTAATCTTGTACCCATTACTTTATATAAGGTATGGAAATATAATAGAATTAAAGACCACTAAAGAAAACCCCTGATCACACATATTTTGAGAACATCATATAACGGAAAGAAGACTACCTATTACCCTATAATTTTTGCACCTGAAACCATACGGGAAAAATTCCCAAGTGTAAGTTTGTATGTGTAACCTCTATGGTAAAAGAAAATGAATGTTGCACCAGTTGTGTTTTTTTTTTTTGTTATTATTATTATTTAATGCAATGGACATTGCACCAATTTTTTAGTATATTAATTTAATAAGCATTTAAAATTAAAAATTACTAGAATGCTTCGTAATACACGTATCTGTCACTCTGTATTTTAAAAATATATGGAGTAAATTCAATGAATATGGAGTAGTAACTAGTAATATTTCTCCTTTACTCTGTGTATTTTTTAAAAACTAAAAATAATACGTGTACTATATTTTTTAATAGTTATAAAATTTTTAAACCCACGTCTTTGTCAATCACTACTCAAAGAGACAGAGGAAGATGTTTGTTTTCCGTGAGAAGGCAATGTCAGAAAATCTTTCCTTGAGAAGGCAATTTTCTCCTATTTTTCATATTTCATCATAACTCCCTATTTTCTATTTTCTGTAAAACGGACTCTGTATTACATAGAAAGACAATAGGGAGTAATGATGAAATATGGAAAAGAGGAGAAAACAATCTTCTCAAAAAAGGATCTTCCGCCATTGTTTTATTAAAGAAGACAAACATCTTCTTCTATCTCCATGATCAATTATTGACAAGGACGTGAGATTAAATTTTTATTACTACTAAATTTAAGGTATTTTTTTTTATATTTTTTAAAAATACTCGATTCGTATTATTTTCAAACTGGATCTGTTATATTCCCAAGAGATACATTGCAACCAATAATACCACTACCATTATTTTCCTTCAACTCATTAACAAATGTAATGATTGAATCAATATTTACTATGAATAAAGGATCATTGTAGATAGGACTATTAGTAGTACTCATTAAATTATCCTTAATTTCTTAAATTTGTCTTTGTGCTAACAAAAAAACAAGTAAAAAGCCCCTACCACAAATCCTCATGGCCCGTTGCAAATCCTTCAAAAAAATAAGCTTAAAAAAAATTAATATTATTTAACTAAATCATTATTAATGATATGAATAAAAGTCTGACTTACATCAGAATAAGATGCATGAATATGTGCATCAGTTTCCATATCACCGTGAAGTATCTAAACTACATCAGCAAGAGATATAAAAGTCCCAAGAGGTTTGATCCTTAGACCACAATCTCAGTTTAAATATGCATATTATTCCACCTAATTTAACAATTCGACATTTTTTATTTATAATTGTTAGCAATTCTCATAATCAATAATGATAACACGTCTCAATCTAAAAATGTCGTATCCTTGATCTAGTTTGTTAATAATATGTAGGGAATTTATAGCATATTTTATTTATTTTGTAATTTTATAACACTCCTCTGTTTTTTAATTTTTAAATATATTACTTGAGTTTGTACATTTGCCGTTGCACAACTTTGACCATTGATATCTTTAATTAAATATTTGTAAAAACTTACAAAAATTTTATTATAAAAGTAGACATTGAGTCGAATCAAAGAATATATTACCTAATAACATCTAATGTACTTCGTATGCAAATACTATTAATCTAAAAATTTACATTTAACATTAAGATGAATAAAAAAGCATAATTATGAACACAAAACCAAATTACTATCAACATACTTTCAAAATCATTAATTAATATAAGTATATAACAACATACTTTCAACATAATTACTTGAGTTCGTCACTACTACATTTTTTATCTAATGCAATGGTGAAGACAGAGCTAATACACCGGCTCTTTTATTACCGTTTTATTAGACAAGGCTAATACAACAGCATAATGTTAATTATATCAAAAACTGGGCTAATACAACGGTTTTAAAAAATCGTTGCATTAGGCCAGCTAATCCAACGGCTCATTTTGGCTAATCCAACGGCAGTATTTCCTAATCCAACGGCACATTCTAATCCTACGCCCCACCTAGGATAATCCAACGGCAAAATGGCTAATACAACGACACTGTTTTTATATAAGCGCCAAAACGAAATTTCCAGTTTATGGGTGAGATTATTACACTGCTAGATTTTATCTCTTTCTTTCTGTTTCCAAGCGTCGTTTTATCTCTTTCTTCTCTCTTCTCTCTCCTCAAACAAACCCTAATCAACGACCTCCTGCTCCTTCCTTATCTTCTTTCTCTTCTTCCTCTTTCATGTTGTCGGTGCGTCGGTCGGTCCTAGTAACGGCGGCAGTGGCGCAAGGAGTTGGTACAAACCCACCTCTCGTCGTTTCCCCCTCCCGAAACGATTTTTCCTGAAGGTTAGTGCTTTTTTCTTCTTTTCTCTTTAAATAATTTCATTATTTCGTGGTTTTTGAGTTTTTGTTTTTGAGAAATCTTAACTATTTTTGATGTTTGAATCAAATTTCCCTCTGAATTTTTTACCCTAAATTGATAATTGAATAAAACATTCCTTAAAATATGTTCTTTTTCGAGCATAATTTGATAATTGAATAAAATATCCCTAAAAATATGTGTTTTTTGTGTTTTAAGTTTTAAGTTTTGAAGATTTCTCTGTTTTTTGGTTAAACAGTAATGAAACTTATCTGCTGGTGATGTTGTGTTATTAAATTGTCGAATTTTTAGCTTTTCGTGTTCCGTTGAGATTTTGGGGTTTGTATTTTAGTTTATGGGTGAGATTATTACACTACTAGATTTTTGTGTTCGGTTTAGTAAACTTTAATTTGGTGATGAATAATTTAGTAATCAATCTGCTTTTTTACTCTATGTTATGCTTGAAATTGTTAGGACTTCTGTCTGTTTTTGTTTGAATTTATAAGTTGATCATTAGATAGATGATATATTGATAGTTTTTTAAATTAAATGCAGGATTTCTACGTGGATTTATTCCAGGCAATAAACAAGTACGGGGAGATTGAGAGTCTCAACATTTGTGACAATTTGGCTGACCACATGGTATTGTTTCCGATTACCTTACCCTGATTGTTTAAATTATCATATACGAGTGCAACTGTACAAATTTTGACAATGGTTTCCATTCCCTATTTCCTCTTCTGGTGCAGGTGGGCAATGTTTATGTGCAATTTCGAGAGGAAGAACATGCTGCTAAAGCTGTTAGGAACTTGAGTGGAAGGTTTTATGCTGGTATATTATCTTATACTTTTGATAGAATTCCTTGCACCATGTTTTATGCTGCTAAATAATTTTGAGCTTGGTTCTGTAAACTTCAACTTGCATGGTTTAGGGATTTTTGTAATATGTAGTACCAAAATATCATGGCAAACGGTGTTAGAGTATGTTTTATTGATGCTGTAATTGTGTATTATTGTGCTGAAATTTAGTAAGAAGAGTTGTAGTCTATATATTTAAAAGGGCTTGATAGTGGATACCACAATTGCAATATAGGTTATTGATTTTGAGATTAAGAGGTTGGAAGTTTTTTAGGTGACATGCTTGATTTCTATTAGTAGTTTTGATAATACTGTGAGCATGTTTCCGGCCTGCCCTTACTATTGGTTTGTTGTGAGATGATTGTGGTTCTTGAACTTAGGAGAACTTTTGAGAATCTACTTTTGAGATGCATTATTTACCTACAAGGGTAGAACAAGAATTGATTTTTAAAGGCTTTGGTTTAAGAGGTTATGTCTTTGCAACTTGATTTCTCTTGATTATATGATTAAATTTGGAATACCGTTTTACTGAACCCATATATATATATATTTGGTACTCTGTCAAGACTAGAGGTGAGGGAATGGAGGGAGTTCAAATTTTCCTAAATATTGAACGGAATTGGCTTTTTAAAAGGGAAAGGGAATTTTCCCACTATTAAGTTTATAAAATCCCGAATATGAGTTTGCTAACTTTGCTTCAAATATGACTATTTCATAATTTTAATACCCATAAAATGCTTATACCCTTTTCTCTCCCTGTAATAAAAGAAAAGTTTTTTTCAAGGAAGAAAGAATTTTGTAGCTTGTATTGACCTTGGCTTACCAGCATTCTTGATCTTATGGGGAAAACTGAAGCAGCATATTAAAATAGTTAATTTGTATTGTCACTCCCATGTGGTGTAGTACTGCTACTCCTGGTGCTTGTTATTTTATTTCTGTAATTGGCTTGTCTATACAGATGCAAGTTTGGAATTCTCATGCTATTTCTTTTTGTTATGCAGCAACGAGGCAGGCTTCTCAAACAAGGAAATTTTACTCACTCGTATCCCTTCTATTGGAGATCTGAAAGACCCCTTATTTATAGAGTTATTCCCAGCTGGTATGTACATTGGGATTTCTGTGCCACTGCTTTTGAATTTATGTAGAGAATTGACTGTCTAATTTTTATTTGTGAAAATTGTAGAAAATTAATTACTATCCTGACATTTTGCTACAATTTTACATTCGGTATTAAGGATTATCTTGGGCAATCAAGATATTTTTAATGAAGTATTTAGCTATCATTATGTGTCATATAGCTGAATATGTTTTTTTTTTTTATGCAAGGGCATGTTAAGACATTTTTCCTACTAACTGATCTTTTGCTAATTTTATCTGTAGGTTTATTAGAGTGGAAAGTATCAAAGACCAATTGCTTGAGAACATTAAAAAGACCTATTGGGTTCCTGATTTTGTCAAGGTTCTATTTCATTTATATCATCATATGTTCTAATTTTGTCTTCATGTTTCTTTTTGCCGTGTTTTAAAATTCAAGTTTTTATTTTCATAAATTTTAGGAAAAACGTTTCCACAATTGGCTTGAAAATGCTAGAGATTGGGCCGTGAGTAGAAGCAGATTTTGGGAAACACCGCTTCCTATCTGGATGAGTGAGGATGGAAAAGAAATGAGAGTCATTTCTTCCATTGAAGAACTTGAAAGAGAATCAGGGGAAAAGGTTTGTTATATCCTTTACTACTTAAGGCTAAGCTGATACTTTGCATTTTTATTGATAATTTTTATATCCAACGTATACTTAATAAGTTTTCTTAGCTATCATGCAGTTTCATGTTTTTATAGTCATAATCTAATATAAAATGGCCGCTCTTCCATTCAAAAGGAATAAGATTGTGGTTTGTCGTAGGGGAGCCTTGGTGCAAGGAAAAATACTATTGCATATCCAATTATCTGAGTCGATGCTGTTGCAGCACAGTTTCTGATGGTGCAGCTCAATTTATGTTTTTGTTTCATTTTTCTTTTAACTTCTTGTTTACTCATTCTATTTTGGATTTTTCACTCTCCTAGTTTGGGTGTTGATTGACTTTGGTTCTGCTTATTTTGAACTTTGTGTGTTAATTTTGGTTTTTTTTTTTTAATTCCAAATGTCTGTAAACATTTCCTTGAAATGTGATGTACAAATTTAGTTTTTTTGTTCTCAAAGAAAGCACTGCTAACATGAACTAGGTGGTTACGCTCTATATCTCAACGGTGTTGCATGTCTATTATTTGTATCCAGCTATGCTTCTTAATGACAACATGATATTTACAGTGCCTTATTTGTATCGTTATATTCAAGTATTCATTTCTTTTATTTTTACATGCATGTAGGTGCATGGCGAGCTAGATGGAGATGAATGAAGTATATATTGTCATTCAACAAATGGAGTGTACACGTCGGTGACTAATTTTATTTAGTTCGAGTTTGTGAAGATTAGGATTTGTATTTTGGAAGATTTTTAATTAGTAAACTTTTATTATTTATTATTAGTTAGTATCGGTAGTGTAATATATATGGAAACAATATTTTGTAATGTATCGTACATATTATATATACTTCGTTTATTGTTATAAATATATTAATATATTTTATATTTATTGTTACCTTTTAAATTTAAACTAACTAACAAAATATATATGTATTCCCTCAAAAAAATATAACATGTAGTATATTTCATGTACAACCGTTGTATTAGGAGAAAATATACCGTTGTATTAGGTGACATATACCGTTGTAGTAGGTGGAAAATACCGTTGCATTAGCCTTGCCATTGGATTAGGTCTATAGATCATGATTTTGTTGTATATTCATCTAATACAATGGCAGCCAAAATGCCGTTGGAGTAGGTATCAAGCTAATACAACGGCATGTACCTAATCAATGCCAGCAGATGTAACGGTATACAGGTGTTGGATTAGGTCTAATACAATGGTTTTTAACACCTAATACAACGAAATTTGTCGTTGGATTAGATAAAAAATGTAGTAGTGCGTACATTTAACGAGACACAACTTTAACCATCAATATACTTAATTAAATATTAGTAAAATTTACAAAAAATTTATTATACAAGTAGACATTTAAATGAATTAATTAAATAATATATTATATGATAACATCTAATGTACTCTGTATGTAAATACCATTAATCTAAAAAATTCACATTTAACATTGAGATGAATAAAAAAAAGGATAATTATGAACACAAAACCAAATTACTATCAACATACTTTCAACGTTATTAATTAAAATAAGTATATAACAACATACTTTCAACATTATTTTTCAATTAATTTTACAACATACTTTCAATATCAATAATATTTTTTTTTAAAAAAAACCACAGTTGATATGGCGGTATCGTGTGGGTGGTGATTCAAAAAATAAATTAATATCAATACTAATAACATGTGATTTGTGGCTCATCGGTGCTAGGAACGTGTGATGTCGTTAAATGGACGGTGGTGATGGTGGAGGAGGAAGTTGAAATAATAATAAGTAAAAACAAATAAATTATTGAGTTAGAGAAAATATAGTAGACTTAACTTGGATCACCGGCGATCGGATATCGTTTCCGACAAAAATGGTGGTTGTTGTCTCCAAGGTGATGACGATTATTAGGATTCTAGGATTTAAAAGTAGAGAAAGTGAAGGGTAATTATTTTTGTTTAGAACGATGGTATACTTTGGGGGATAGTGAATTACTACGTAACTAATTGATTTCAAATATTAACTAACTAAACATATTGAGTCTCGTGGGTCATATGAATCCACATAGAAATTTTAGCCGTCATCCCCTCCAAGACAACGACCACCATTGTTTCCGAAAACGATATTCGACAGCCGGCAATAATAAAATCCCTTCTATATTGCTACCGTGCCCCCTTGATTAGATTTAACACTGCACTGTGGTCGCCTCATTGTTTTGCTACAATTATGTGGAGTATCATCTTCCACATCTTCTAGCAAGACATTTTGAGGCACTTAAAGAGATCAACTTGAGCAATTTTTGATCTGATCTCCAACCCATCATCCACAAAGCAAACAAAGGTCGACGTGAAATAAAATTTATAAAACATAATGAAAGGGAGATTTAGGAGTAGGAGGACTTCGACAATAGATTAGCGTGTAGCTATCGGCGTGAGGATGTTGAAGACAACTACCTGGGTGATGAGTGCTGATTAGGGGATTTTTATCCACCAATCAGCATCCGACACGTGGGCCAACCAGGTTTCGCCACGTGTCCTTCATGTAGGCCAAAAGGAGCCTGCCACGTGTCATCAAGAGATTCGTCCTCCTTGGACCAATTGCAATGTGACACGTGTCCACCCATGCTAAATGGGAAAACCGGCCAACAAGGCCCAATCATTGTGGGAGGCCCAGTCAGCCTTAGGTTTAACCTAAACCTAGTACTGGCACGCATCCCAAGGCATATAAATATGCCCATTAATCCTCATTAAGGGGGAGGACGCACATTTAACACTCTCACCTAGAGAGACCCAATTACTTTTATTTCCGCATTAATTACTCCTTAATCAAGTACTAACTTGACCGTCGGAGGCGGATCTCCAATCGTCCGCAACATCCGTTTGTTTTGCAGGTACAGGCGTCTGGTTCCAGTCTCAGAATTGTAACTCTCCCGTAGGACATCAGAAAACCCCGAAACATGGTGCGACGGCCTGCTACAGGTGACACGTGACAAGTCACGTGCCACCTGTGAGGGGCAAATGATTAGGGGATTTTTATCCACCAATCAGCATCCGACACGTGGGCCAGCCAGGTTTCGCCACGTGTCCTTCATGTAGGCCAATAGGAGCCTGCCACGTGTCATCAAGATATTCGTCCTCCTTGGACCAATTGCAATGTGACACGTGTCCACCCATGCGAAATGGGAAAACCGGCCAACAAGGCCCAATCATTGTGGGAGGCCCAGTCAGCCTTAGGTTTAACCTAAACCTAGTACTGGCACACATCCCAAGGCATATAATAATGCCCATTAATCCTCATTAAGGGGGAGGACGCACATTTAACACTCTCACCTAGAGAGACCCAATTACTTTTATTTCCGCATAAATTACTCCTTAATCAAGTACTAACTTGACCGTCGGAGGCGGATCTCCAATCGTCCGGAGCATCCGTTTGTTTTGCAGGTACAGGCGTCCGGTTCCAGTCTCAGAATTGTAACTCTCCCGCAGGACATTAGAAAACCCCGAAACAAGTGCCATTTATGGCACTCATTTGATGAGTTTTTAGGTTGTTATTACCTTCTTTTTATAGCTTTTGTTCTTAAAAAATTCTTAGTTTTATTCATTTTCTCTTTAGTTTCCTTATTCTTTCTTATTTTGTGTTTTTGTCCACTTTTGTGGATTTTCTAGTGTTTTTCCCTTTTATTTGTTCATTTCCTTTAATTGTAGGTTTAAGGCAAAGCTCCAGACTCATCACGATGATCCTCCGGGTCGGAAGAGGCCTTTTGGTGCAAAGCTTTAGCTTATGAAAGCTAATGGAACAAGTGATGGCTAACTCCAAGACTACGTGGTTGCGCTCGCATGCTATGCTCACATGAAAATATGGTGTTGAACCCACCGTAAACTCTATTTTGAATTTGCCATACCTAGTGTTGATCATAAAGAGGGCACAATCCACATGAAGCTTGCACCGAAGGAAAGTCCCCTGCTCCAGCAGTGCGGGCGCGCTGGAAAACTCTGCCGCGACACGACAGCCACCACCACGCCATGACAGCCACTGTCGCGACATGACAACAACCGCCGTGAAACGGCAGCAACGCTGTGCCACGACAATCCTCTAGTTGCACGGGCGCGCTCCTCTGGGACCTGTTTCTGACCCTTGTTTTCGCGGGCACGCTTGGCTTTGTCTATTCCGGGATTTTTTCCTGATTCCTTTATTCTATAAATAGCCCTTCTTCTTATTTCTTCACTAAGTAATTCATTAAGCAATTAATTGGCTTAGTTGAAAGTTTCTCTCTTTAGTTTTAGGGTTAGTTTAGGAGTAGATTTAGAGAGAGAAAGTGAGATATTTCAATGGTGATTTGAGAGATTGATGATGCAAGGATGACAGTTGTATTGAAGATCTTCTCAATCATCAATGAACATTTCTAACTCTATCTCATTTTATTGCTTTGTTTAATTTCATGTTTGTTTAATTGGGTTTTGATGATTGAATCTTAATTAGTGTAGTTGTTCTTCATATTTGTTTATTCTTGATTTCATTACTTTCTTATTGATTTGATGATAATTCTTGAGTAGCTATTTTGCTAGGGTTTGGGTGAAACTTGTATGAGTGATTGTTTGTGATGGATTTGGGAATTATGTTGATTGATTGTTGTGATGAAAGTGATTAATTTAAGTTTGCATGTGCTTAGTTTGATTAGGCCTTGAGAACGATGTTAGATTGCATTGTGATTCCTAATGACATGATCACTTGATTTAGGATTTGCAATTGTTGATTGGTTTGAATTGTGATTCTCCTAGTTTGTTATTCATAGAGGAAACCTAGCTTAACGATTAGGAGATAGATCTTTGATCCTAATTGATAGCTCTTATCATTAGTCTTCACAACCATTGATTGACATGACCTTCACAAGTTGTTGCAATTGTCAAGATTACTTGTTGATCCCCATTCCCTAGTGTTTGTTTCTTTTTTTTGGTAGTTGATTAGTATTAGTTACTCTATTCTTGACCCTTGACTTCGATCTAGCTTAGGCGCATATTGGAAAAACTTAAGCATAACCGTTCCTAGTGGTTCGATCCTTTACTTACCTCTATACTTGTATATAGGTTTGCTAAGAGGGAGGATTAGTCAACAACCTAGTTCACCAGACATCCCTACGTCACCCTTGAAAGGAATGATGTCCTTAAAACAAGTGTATTATTCCAATAGAGGTTTCGGAATTAATTATAAAAGCTAATTATTCATTGAGGTCAAGTGATCGGAATGCCTAGCTGGAGGCCACTTCCGATCAGTAAAATTAACGTATATTTAATATTACAACTTAATCTTGACTGAACCCTTCGGGTCATACCTAATCGTGTAACCGAACCTATGCGACGTATTAATGCGAAGGATTAAACAAGTCAATAGAGATTTTACGAACTAAGACGTCGGATTCCGAGCTTAGAGTGTCGAAAGTCAAGTCGAATTTAAGAATCGACGAGACGGAAGAATCATCCAAACAACAAGTCAAATAATAGTCGTAGCCTTGCGTTAGCCTAGCCAAGCAAGGGCTAGACCATGTATGGCAGCTAGCCGTAAGCGCTAGCAAGGCTGCAAGCCCAGCAGCCCTATGCGGGTGCTAGCTGGGGCTTGGTGGCCGAGCTCGAGTGCTAGCGAGACCAGCCGCAAGCTAGCACGCTAGGCCTAGCTAGCTGCTGCTAGTGCTTCCATCCACGCAAGCAAGGCCAGCAGCAAGCATTGCTCGTTGGGCCTTGCGCAAGGTAGCAGCAGTAGCACGCAAGCTACTAGGCTAGCGATAGCAGCGTCCAACAGTCCTCAGTGATACGAGGGCATGCTGGTGCAGGGCTGCTAGCGCATGGGCTAGCTAGCACGCCCAA